AATCACAACCAACATTTACCAATGAATGATTCATCATTTCATAATTACTTTGTACCTAACTTATTTGTATAATACTTTCAAATCAAATTCAACAAATGCATTATAACATAACATTTGAAGTATATAGATGAAATTACTTTAAAAAATTAAATATTGTATTTATGACGATAAATTTATTCAAAACAGAATGAATATTAATAAAGTTTATAATTAAACAGAATGAATCTGTACACAGACTTTTTTTAATTATAAAAGTTATGCCGTTTTCCTTTTGTAAATCGGGTTCAACGTTACTGCAGAACCACAGTAATTATACTTGTCTAACTTATTTTGTTGTTTGTGGAAGGACCGTGGGCCCACTAAGCTTTGCCGTCCTTTTTTTTAAAACAGTTTTTTTTTTAAATTTAAATATAAGGAAATAGAATGTGAGGCTTGTGGCGGGGAAAAAAGGAGCCAGTGTGAGACCACATTTATTTTTTATTATTATTATTATCATCAGGAAAGTAATTGGGTCCAAGCAACGATGCAGAGCTGTATAAGTTGCATTATTATATTAGTAATATAATACTCTTCTGATTCTTAATATAATACCTATTTAACTAATTTAATTAGATTAAAAAATTTATGTAAGTTAGTTAATTATAAGAAATATAACATGTTTTTCCTAAAATACTATAATCATCTTCTTTAAATCCTCCCTCACTTTTTTACTTGATTATGATTGAGAGAGTATCTATAGGAGTAATTTAAGAAAAATTGATAAATATGAGTAATAAATCTTATATTTATGACTAAAATTAACTCAACTATTAGGTCTTATATTAAGGACCGGAGGAGTATTAGATTGGCATGAATATAAGATGATATTGTTCCTTAATCAAACCGTTGGAAATTAACTTCGATTTCTAGCATTTGTGCATGGAACAAATTTTGTTGATAGAGAACTCATCATAGATGAGTTTTGATTGTTAGTGATGAATACTCCTAGTACCTTAAAAGGGCAAAAAAGGGAAAAGCTAAAAAGAGAAACTTTAGAACTGGGAAAAAGTAAACTTTGAAGGGGACTACTTTGAAAATTTGTTGCTCAGGTCAGGAATGACATTCTGGCCTAGTAATATAGCAACTACATTTTATAAATAAGAGGTTTTTTCTGAGTAAAAATGTAATTTTTTTTTTTTAAAAAAAGTGTACAAATACAAACTCATAGTAAAAGAGAATTTACAAAATCACTCTAAAAACAGAGAATGCTTTTTAACGTGTGATCAACTATGATACAAGTATGTGCTAAACTATCCTCTATTACATGAGTATCATTGGTTAAAAGACGTTATTTCCTAACTTTCCACAGCTTCCAACAAATAATTCAAATCTCGATCTTTAGAGATTTGTCTAGATTGGATGCTTGCAAATTGTAAGTTAACCATATTTCAATATCATTCCCAAAAAAAAAAAAGTCAACAAATGAGCCAACCAGAAGAGAGGAATGCAAATTATATATGTTCAATCCGCTTATAATTTCAAGTTGTTATTACATATCTTTCTATATATATTTGTTTTTAAAAATGTAGATTGCTGAAAATGCAAGGAACAAAGTGAAAGAAGGCCCAAAAGCAGATTCCCTCACCCACATGTTGTGTTGCATACCAATGTTTAGTCTGTCTTGGCTTGTTGCTGGACCAACCTCCTTTGCTTTTAATATTCACACATCTCATTCATTTTCCAACCCCTTTATGATTGCCCCAAGCTAAGCATGCTTTAGCATTTCAAACTAGTGTTCCCTATTTTATGCTAGCTTAGCCTCTTTTAATATTATTCTTGCTATATAGATTTATTGGCGGCTGATAATAATAATAATAAGATGCATGCATGTAACACAATGTATTATACTACTTCCGGTTTTTAATATAAGATTTTATTTGATTTTTATTTTGGTCATAAATATAAGACCTTAATCCACTTTGTCTTTTATATTTATGTATTTTTTCAAATTAGTCCTTTTAATAATAGCAGTTCTAACCAATACATTTGATCAACAAAGATATTTTAGGAAAGATAATATTTATTTATTACAAATAACTAACTTAACTTATTTTTTAATATCTTTAAATGAGTCAACTATTTTTTATATTTAGAAGTGGAGGTACTATTTAATCAATCATACGTATGGTTTTGGCCATAAAATTAAAATGGGGCCACCGTGTTCTGCTAAGTGCTAATATCAGCATCACATCTTCTGTACTGACTTGAAGAGCTCAGTTTCTAACATATTTCATGCGTCTTTTTTTGAAAGTGACTTTATTTATTCATTTATTTATTGTTGGCTTTCTTCTTTTTATTTATTCATTTATTTATCGTTGGCTTTCTTCTTTGGCCCATTCTCTCTTTCTATCTCTCTCTCTCTCTCTACAGAAGAGGGTCTCATTTTGAGCCATCAAAATTAAACTTCACATCCAACCCTGGCTTGAATTTTGGTTCAGTGACTGTCTTTTTCAATTCTTTCCCAGAGGATAGGCTTCAACATGTGTTCTGGGATCCGATTCAGTTTTTTAGTTGTTACTTAAATCTTTTACAGTATAACATAAAGCAGTGAGATTAAGATCCTTTTTTTTTTTCTTAGCTGATTTTTTTTTTGGTAATCTTCTTTACTCGGTTATGAATAGTTTTTATTTTTCTAATGACAGGAATCTTTTTATTGAATGTAATTCTATTCAAAATACTGTTAGATACTAATATAATACTTCTCTCAATAAAAATTTCAATATTAATTTTTTATATTATGAGATTTTTTTTTTTGACCAGCTATATTATGAGATATTAGTCCCTCCTATCAAACAAAGTCACATTAGTATTAGGCTATGAATACTCAAATGTTACCTTAGACTTTACCTCTGCAGGCGCCACGAGAAAGCCGAAATGAAAAGAAATGGCACGCATTCTGAGAAGCCAAAGTTTTTATGAAAAGGCTGTTTTGTCAGGAGAATAGTAATTTTATAAATGTTATAGATTCAAATTTTACATGTATTTTACATGTAGGATGATTTGTGAAATTGAGGTCATATGCATTTATGCATCATATGTTTAAGGAAGAAATAAATAAATAAATACATGAAATTAAAAAGCTTGTTTGTTTTTGTTTTTTGTTTTCTTATTTGTATAAAATTGGTTTTTAGTATAAGTTTTGAAAAAAACAACAAAAAAATTTGTTTGGATAATAATTTTAAAAGATTATGTTTGAAAAAAAAAACCCCATAAAAAACTATACTTGGTAGGTAATAGTTGTCGTTGGTAATAGTAAGTAGTGGATAGTAGGTAAGAAGAGAAAAAAATTTCTCAAAACTTTTCCCAAAAAAATAAAAAACACAAAAACAAAAACAGGAAAACATGTAAAAGTTATTTTAGTTTTTTAGTTTTTAAAAACATGTTATTGTTTTTTATTTTTTAAAACTATCAACTAAAAACAACTTACTAAACAAGTTTTTTTTGTTTTTAAAAACAAAAAATTATTTTCAAAACAAGAAACCAAACAATTCCAAATATTTGTAATATTACAGTTTCATTTAAACTTTAACCCGATTTGAAAATCTATTATTACTTACTATTAGTTTATCAAGCCCTACCACTTCACATTCCCAGTTTTACAGTGTTCCACAAAGTAAAAGATTTTCAAATATTGAGCGTTAGATTGTAAAGAAAAATGAAAAATAGACAATATAAATACGATTACTTAAATATCCACTAATATATATATATATATATATGTATTCAATATATATAATAAAATTCACAGCAGATCACACCACTATGCTTTGAATTTTGTACCATCTATGCAAAAACAAGCACTTGTATGTGTGAGAGAGAATAACAATGCAGCTATTTTGTTTAAACAAAAAGCGCATGTAATTAAATTAAAATTCCCTTATTTACCAGAGACCAATGAAATGATCTGATGGAATATAAAAAGCGATTTCTCCCAAAAGGAAAAAAAGAAGAAGAAAGAAGCAGAAAGTGTTCATTTTCAGCAATGACTCATGTGGGCCTCTCTCTCCTGAGAGCAGGAAATTTGGCTGCCATATACATGGCTCCACCAACAAAGACACCTCCACAATCACATATATAGGGAGAAAGATTTGAAACATGAGAATCATCAAGGTTGTCATACAAGGACATTACTTGCATTAAAATAAAAAGAAAAGCAGTAAAAAAAAAATAATCCAACATTGAAAAAGTAAAAAAGAGAACCTAAGAGCAAAAGAAAGGGATAAGCATGAAGAAGTTGAGTTCCTCCCCCCAAAAAGAACCTATGGGGCCCCTGTCATGTTGTTGGGAGTCACTGTTCACTCATATCTGTCTTTTGACACTACTCTTGTGTTTTGTTCTGGCCCCATTATCATTCTTTTACCTTTCTTTTTTCCCCCCTTATTCTTTCTCTGTTTCCCCTTCTTGCCCAATGCCATCCAAAGCTTGTCATTGCCATTTAGTATTACAATACATTTTATGCATAATTTAGTCAAAAAGGTCATCATCCCTTATCTGAGATTCTGTTTTTGTGGTGGTCTGTGATTGGGAACCAAAAAGATTTATCTAAAGCTGCTTTCTTCCAATTCTTTCAGAGCATCTTCTCACACCTTATGTGAGAAAGAAACTATGCACTTCTCTTCCCCACAAGGACACACAGTAACAGCAGGAAAAATTAAAAAGATATAGTTCTCTTACAGGGGGAAAAGAACAGAAGCACTGTTTATATGAGAAAAGAGACTAAAACAGTATCTGCAATCCCTCATCTCTCTCACTTTCAGTTCTCAGTTAAAGTAAGATCTTAAGGAGTAACAACAAAAACTTGAGAGCTTAAGTTGAAAAGGGGAATAAAAAGGCTTTTTCGATGAAGAGTAGTTCCCATCAAAAGCTTATGAAGACCCTTTTGACGCCAAGGAAAAAGTTTATGGAAGCTGAAAAGCCTTATCTCCTGCTATCAAGTTGTATGCAAAGAAGAGATAGACAAATGAACAAAAGCATAACAGTAGCATTAGATTCCATCACATGATGAACCTTAAATGGAGGAGAAAAGACATTCTTATCTTCCTTCTGGGGCAACAGAAAGCATAACTAAATTAGTAGTACCACAAACATTGCTGGAATTTCCATTAGATCCACAGTTACAAGGTTACAATGGGAGAGAGGGATTCTGGAAAATCATTTTTTTTTCTTTTTTCTTTTTAATATGACAACCAGAGATCAGAGCATAAGCTACAGAATCTAATCTTAGTTCTACCCTCAACTCAACGCAATTTGCGGTGTTGCTTGCTTGTTCTGCATCTTCAGTCACCAAGCAAAAGAATCAAGAAAAAAAGGAAAAAGCAAACTCTATGCAGGCCTGTGTCGCTTGTGTCCCGCTTTTCCATCAGATTTTAGAGCACCACTAGAATCTCCCTCGGAAGAAACATCAACGGATTTCGTGAAGGAGCTTGAAAGATCAGCATAAAGATCAACCACTCTTCTGATGTTGTTGTTGAGCTCTCTAATGAGATCCACGTTTCTGCTAAGATTGTCGGGGATCTTGGACTCATGATTCTGGTTTATCTCGTTGATGAGAAGCTTGTTCTGATCCAAGATGTTCTGCACTTGAACGAAGCTCTTTTTGAATGTCTGCAAGATCTTGCCATCAACTTGTGCTGTACCATTGTTGAGACCCGAGAATGTGTCACCCTCCATTCTTCTTTTCTGAGTCAAAAGCTTAATCGACCGAGTCAGACGCAGTCCTGCATCAGAAGGAGATGAGGAAAAGAAACAAAGGAAGAAAGGAACAAAACAAAACAAAGGATAAGAAACAGTGTAGAAATCTACATACTTTAGAAGCTTTTCTGAATTTTTAATTCGGCCATAATCATATCCTCTTATCTGTACATGCCTGCACTAACGAAAACAGAAAGACAAAACATGAGCAGTATTTGAATTGTTTAAGGCATCTGGGCAGATGAGACAAGGCATGTAGTAGAAATCATGACCTCCATTGAGTTGCTTTTCCAGAGGGATCAGATTATATAAGAAGCATGTACATGTAAATTCTACTTTTCCCCTCCTTGCTTTACTATTATTGAGTTATTCATTATGGAAGTATTACTGTTGTTCGTTGCTATTATCATTGTTGCAGTTATTGATCATATTATTATAATTTATGACGAGATGGGAAAAAGCAGATCCCATTTCCATAAAAGGGAACCTTTTTCAAGGAAATACCTACCTAAACTAAAGCACAGAGTTCTAATGAAGAATCTCATAGACCCCAGAAGAAAAAGATGAATGATGCAGAGAAGATGAGGCACGAAATTGTACTGCACCAGTTCTGAGACAGCATTATTAACCCTTTCCGACCAAAACTACGGAAATAATAATAACTGTCTAGACCCAAAATTAAATAGCATTGCCCAAATTCTGAAAGCACGCCTTGGAAAGAACCAAAAGCAGTTTAATAATCTGAAATTGGCAATGACTCAAAAACCCAGAAATTGCCCAAAAGAAAAAAAGAAAAAGAAAAAAAGAAGGACTGTGTCACGGATTCGAGCATTGAAACCGTACAGGAAATCTCGCACTTGCAGAAGCTAAAATTCCTTAAAAGCGAGCAAAAAACAGCTGGAGATAAAACAAAACGTTTGACGGGGCCAAGGAACGAGAAGATGCGAGAAATCTCAACCCGGCTAAGCTGTGAAGATTTCTGAAGAAGAAAAGGGAAGAAAGTACCCAAAGCAATAAGAAAACTCGAGTTTTGATGATTAAACAGGTAATTTAAGGGGCCAAATTTTATATTAGAGTGTATTGAAGTGACCCAAAAAAATATGGAGACTTCGTACCTTGAAAATCTGGAACATGATAATATAGGAGGAAGGCGAGGGAATACCGAGGAGGAGTGATAGAGATCGGGGATTGAATGGAATCTCCGGAAAACACAGAGGTCTGCGGAATTCTGAGAATGGAGGGAAGAGAGAGAGAGAAGAGAGAATATGTAGATTTGACAGTCACGCTCGAGGGCCTGTGTATGTGTGAGGGTGCGTAGTTTAATATATTTATTAAGCAGTATATTTTATGAGGAACCCCTAGAGTGGGTCCCAGGAGCTCATTTTAAAGTTAACATGAGAAGCGTATATAAGAAAAAAATACATTAAATATGTTAAATATTAGTGCAAGCCTTTTTTTTTTTTAATGCAAAGACAAAATCACATATATAAAGACAAAAATTAAGTTTACAGGTTACAAACATTAAGAGCACCAATATTAAGTGTGAATAAGCGTAAGAGAGCCAGATAAAGAAATAGTACTAGAGCTCAAAGAGGAATAAGGGCTGAGATATCCTGCCTATTAGTTCAAGTCTTTAGTGTAAAAAATATTGCTGGTAAAAAAAAAAAAGTACCAAGAGGGTTGAGTATAGTAGAAAGGGTTAGTTCCTCACAACGTGGTGAACCAAGGTTCGAATTCCCACTAGAAGAGGTGCCCACATTTAGTACCTAACAGTACTTTAAATAGAATTGTTTCCAATAAAAGAATACCTATATTTTAACCAAAAAAAAAAAGTGTAGAAATATCAAAGTCTTTAGTATACTCATGTGTTACCTCATAACCTTTCTAGTAGATAATGCTGTGGGATTAAATCCTATAATGGTCTATTAGTATCCAACATTATCTTAAACAATATTGCTTATAATGAGAAAATACTTGTGCTTTTTTTTTTCTTGCCAGAAAATAAGACACTTATGCCTAGCTTTCAAAAAAAATCCGTTGGGATATTATGGATTTGATTTTTATTTTGAAAAATACTAGTACCGGTTCATATGTTCTATAAAATTTAAAAAATAAACTGCATATAATGGAGTGCGCGAGAATTGGATACAAACAAAGACAGTTGAGGGGGGATGTTGTTCTATCCAATCTAACTTTGTCATGTGATTACTTATTTCAGAGATCAGATCGGAAGCATCAATTGTTCCCATCTCTGGTGGCGACACGTGGCCCCTCATCATCCCACGCTTCCTTCGTGCACTCTGACCTACACACATCACTGTATCATCTGCTAATAATTTAGATATTTATTTCATCATTATATATTATACAGAATCTTAATTAATAAATAATCGCCCTTATGATTCACAAGTTACAAATGATTGCCAGTTTTATGTTGCCAAATTCATCTTCCTTTTTGTTGGCAAAAAAAATAAAATAATTTGTTTGTAATTTTCTTCATTAATTTACATGTGCTTAGACTTAAAAAGGATTTATTTTTTTATAAGGCTTAATAATATCTAATCCTCACGTAATAATATTAAATACCATATAAGTGTATACCAAATGCATATGAAATGGTCACAAGTTCATCAACAACAGCTCAGGATGGGCATAAAAATAAAAAAGAACATATTTTTCAAAAACACGGTAATCTAATTGATCTAACACACACACACACACACACCAAATTTTGAAAGGCTTTATGGTGTTGAATTGAAAAGTAATTAATATTAAGCCTTGAAAAATTACAACAACTATATAAGTGTTAATCAATTTCATCCATCATCAATTAATTTTCAAGCAAAGCATCTGCCGCAATAATTTCATATGTGAAACAAGACTTTTTTAATCATTCAAAAGTGGACCTTGGAAGATCCAATAGGTCTATTCTTAATTTTTTTTAAAAAATAATATATGGGTAAGTACTATTTCACTTTCAAAGATAGCTTTACGAGCCTGACAACTCAAGCTGATTTTTTAAAAATATATGTATAATATAATCGCCCTGAAAAATCAACAGTCAAAGGGAAAACAACATTTGAGTTCGGGCTGGATACGATCATTCTGAATTTTAAAATCAAAGTGTTGGTTCAGGCAAAAGAAAAAGAGTCCCCATGGGATGTTTTGGTAATAATAAGTGATTGGTTTATTATTAATTAATAATTGGAATCAGAATGAAATGGGAAAATAAATAAGTAGGAAGAAATGTGAAAAAGATATTTTAGAGAGGGGATGGCATAGCCAGCCCGGAGAGGCGATAGGGATACAATCTGGAAGATTCCTGCAAAAGCGACTTCTGCTCATTTTCTTCCGGAGATGCTTTTCCATTTTTACCCCTCCCCATATTCCTGCCCCTTTATTTGATATCTTATCATCCCTCCGTCATTCTATATTCGATATCCGGGTTGATAAGATGCTTTTAATCACTTTGCTAGAATTACACTGAATTTGTTTTAAAATAAAAAAAATTTTAAAATTTTCCTTTTCACAAATTCCACTTTGAGAAGTGAAAAAAAATTACAGCAAATTTTAAATATGATCAATTCTTTTTTAAAAAAAAGTGTAATTAATAGTACCACATTTGTTGCCTTATAAGAACGATAATTTGTTCCTTTTAAAATGTTCTTTATGATAAGAATCAGAATGGTATGACTTGAGTGTGTGATTTTGCTAAGCCAATCACCTTACAAACTCATGAGTTTAATCTCACTTATAATAATATAAGATTATTGGGGCTTGCCTTTTTAATTAAAAAATTACGAGTGAGATTAAACTCATTAGAATAATATAAGATTGTTGGGGCTTGCCTTTTAATTAAAAAATTATAAGAATAATGGGGGGGGGGGGGAATAAATTTGGTAACAAGATTTTACAGGAAAATGCGGGATGATGAAGGCATCAGGTGCCGCCACGAGGAATGGGGAGAAGGGATGCTTCCGATCTGACCTCAGAAATAATTAATCACATAAAAAAACATGTTAAATGTTTCATAAAATTTACAGCGAATCATGGTGTTTATAAGTTATGCAATAAAAATTAAAGGAAAAAAGAAAGTCTTTGTTGATAGCATCCAACGTAAATAAAAGAATAAAGAACAATATACATTGACTTGTAAAATTAAAATATAAGTATAATGAAAAAAAAATCTACAAACTTAAGGTTCTGTCTGATATGAAAAAAATGAAAGAAAAGAGAGGGGAGGAAAAATTTCAATGGATTTGATTAAAAAAATTTAAAAAATAGGGTTAAAATTTTTAATTAATTTTTATTACTCTTTTACATTACTTTTTTTCTTTATTAAATTTTAAAAACCCCACTTCTCTAACTTTTTATATAGAGCTCATTAAAATTTTTTCCTCTTTTCTTCTCCTTCAATTCTTTTCAACTTGCTTAAATCAAGAAAAGACTCTAAGAAAATTAAATATATTTAATGAGAAATAATGACATAATTTTATTATTGTTCTTAAGAGATAAAAAATTATATCATGCACAACGTCTTTTTTTTTTCCAAAAAAGAAATTATTGCATGTGTCAAGTGACTCGATAAAGTTTAAAATATTGAGGATGAGCTGAGATCATTTATGAATCGGAGCCTTGGGCTAGGAACATTATATTTGCTCCCAGAGCTGTAGGAATCTGCAAGGACAAGCAATCTTTGTAATATTATTTTGTATGTTTCCTGTTCTTTGATAATACAAACCTTTTTCGGTCAATACAAGCATAAATACATAAAATGAAAAATGAAGAGAAAAAAATAGTTACTTTGTTTTTTGGGGGGGGGGGGGTGTTAATACCTAATATCATATTCAATTTCAAAAGGGATCTGCTTTACATCTTTTCAGGAAAGGGGAAAAAAAAAAAGAAATTATGTTTCTGAATCAAATTTCAATCCCCAGCTTGCTTTGCTTTAGGCCGCCAATTAATCATAGTTGCTTCCTTAAGAATGCTAAAGATAATTGTCCAACCGATGTCTAATCAGTAATTTTAGCCAAACCTGCAAAACACCAAATTAAACAAGCTATATTGGGTAAATTTTAAACTTCAAAGAATTAATAGAAATTTTTTTAACATATTTTATCTAATTAAGAATAACATTCTACAATAAAATAACTCTAATTCACACTATAAGAAAATCAATAAGAATGACTTCAAGGAGATTGATTTTATATTAAACCATTGTGATTTTTTTCATTTTTCGTTTGAGATAAATTTTTTGATATTTTTATTATTTATAAGTTTATTATTATTGTTTTTCTTGCAAATAAAATAAACTAATTTAATTACGACACCACAGAATTAGCTAATGAACCATCTACCACCGTTTCAATCAAAATCCAATATCATCCATAGGCTTGAAATTTATACCACCAGTTCATTATATTGTAAAATAATATTAATGTGCAATTAACTTAAACTCTGGAATGGACGAAAATGGGTATGACTGTATGAAGTATCAATAACCAATTATTATATAAATGTGATAATATGTCAACAACATAGAAATTTCAAAGCTTGACTTGAGTCAGATTGATTAAACTGGACAAATCTAAGTCTTTGAGGGCGGCAACATAAGACAAATCTCCCATTATTGAACCTTTTGATATTATCTACTTTATTCTACTTTCGTTTGGACAATTATTTATGAGGATATGCATTCTGATTGAGGCAGGGTAAAATTTGGGGAAGACTAAAATTACGCATGTCAGATTTATTTACTAAGAAAGTTAACGGAGAAGTACTGGAATAAGGAAAAATATTTGCATTTTTTTAAAAAGAAATGCGAGTGTTACATGTATCAAAGTTATATAAAATTATACAAGGGGCTAATAACTAGTGCAAAAGTGTGTTAAGATGGGACAAAATATATAAAAATAGACCCACGTTATTATTTAATACGCTTTTAGACATTCTAAATGAGTTTATATAAGAAAATATTACTCTTTCGATTATAAATATAAGACCCTTACTTATATTTATAAGGACTGAAGGAGTATAATTATTGTGGTTGAATGAAAAAAAGACATCGGCCTTAAACTTGAGTCATGAAGAAAGACTTGGGATTGGAGTGTTTTCACCTCAGCAGGACTAAGACAAAATATGCGTATTGAGATTTTGATAAAACAAAGCAAAGTTAGAAGTGATTTGGAGATTAAAATATGAGATAAAATCATTCCACAAGGAGTAAAGTTCAAATGTTTGCGATCAACTGTACAAAAATATTATAAAATTGATGAAAATATTAATAATCAAATTTAAATTGAGCGGTTTAAAAAGAGAAAGGCTATCAAAGTTCTTTGCGATGAAAAAAGTATCTAAGAAGATAAAAGAAAAGATTTATCATATTATCATAAGACCAAGGATATTATAGGGTAGCAAATGCTGGTTTTTAAGAAAACAACAAGAGTATAAAGTGAAGGCAGGTGATAGAAGAATATTGAGATAGATATGTGATTATGAAGTTGTTTAAGGTGGTTCAAACATTTGGACACGGAGATGAGGATGGTGAGCCAGGTACATTATAAAATGGATCAATGAAGAGCCCAAAAAAAAAAGAAGAATATAATGCCTGCTATTGTCTTAGTTTATAGGACGATGGGTGGTGATTCCAACTTCTCAATCGGAGTCAAGGGAATCAAACACATTGAAAATGAAGTTTTGTATTGCAGCTGAATTAGTGACATTATTTTATCAGTGAACTGATGTGTGAAGGAGGCATGATTTAATTAGGGGCATAAACAAAAGGAAGTACTTTTACTTTTCGCGATTCACAAGGAAGAAAGCAAAAGAGCGCCATGCGCAAAGCTCTGGGCAGTTTAAATGCCCAATAATTTCAATCATTATCTGTAATCACAGCCCTGGTTTTCTAAATGGGAGACACTATCAATATTCAATTATATTAAATTAATATTTTATTAATTACGCTTTCTTATCCTCACTTTCACACTCGTGACTCGTCATTTCAGTAATTATCTCATTAACCCATTATCAGCCCCCCTTCTCACTCTCGTGGGAGTCTTCTCACCCACTTGGGCTAAACCCAGCTTAACTCCGTGAGATTTCAAATGGGTCGTCCTAATAACAATTGAATCTAATGAAAAAGACTAATTTGTATGTGTGTTCCCTTTGCACGCAATTGATTTAATGTCTTGATGTAAAATAGATCTCGAAACATATTATAGATTTGACACTTTCACATTTTAAAAGATTGGAAATTGAAATTCAACAGACACGGATGAGAGGATTATTTATTTTTCGCATCCGTCGGTACCGTTGAATTAGGAAAAAAAAACAAGTAGTTGGGATTTATTACCTTATAATATTATGATTATGATATTATATAAAATAAATAAATTTAAAACATTGAAATTTGATCCAGATAATTCAGAGTACCTTAAAAAGAGAAAAAATGATTTTTTTTTCTGCCAATGAAAAATTAATTTTGTTAAATATTAAATCTTAGCTATTTATTTAAGAGAAAAAAAAGGATGAGTAGAGGATCTAAATTTTAAGGATGAGTGGATGAGCTCTGCTTAGTCAGCATATACAGATAAGAAATTGAGGTGTCAGCATCAAATTAGATGAATGATGATCATAGCTTACAGAGTAAATAGACTTCTTGTTAGACTGGTTGGTGAGTTTTGATATGTTTTTCTGAGTTGACCAAAGGCAACGAGTTAAACTCAATTTTTGGGGTTCAACCGAGTTAAACTCATTTTAACACAAGGCTGAGGGGGTGTTTGGATTCTCTCATAAGTGTTTTTTAAAAGCACTTTTTCGCAAATCAAGAGAAACTCCTCCACATATTTACTTCGTATACTGTAAAAGCACTTCTAAAATCATGGTTTGGTTTTCATCCAAACACTCCCTGAGTCTTCAAAACAAGGTGTCGGCGATCATGAGTTTGGGCCCTGATCCAATGTCCTTTTTATGTTTTGGCTGCTACTCAGAATAGTAACAATAAACTCACCGTTGGCCAAAAAAAATAAACAATAAACAATAAACTCAACAACAAGTTGAGCTTAACATGAATGACTAGTCTTTTCATAACTTAACAGACTTATGTTTAAATTTCTACTGAGAGAGGCACTCATATTTCGTACTTGACAATATTTCGAATAAGATTATCTGTAATAAGAAGATACTTATATTTTAAGCAAAAAAAAATTTAAGTTTAGTATAAAGAACTAATTCTCTACAGGGAACATAGTCATTCACCTAAAATTTTTTGTGGGAAAAATAAAAAGAATAACAGCATGCTCAAATATAGAAGAACAAGTGAACATATAATGATTTTTTGGATAATTAAGATAGGTAACTTATGAATTTTATTAGTTTTCATCAATACAAGTTCAAATTAAGAAATGAAAGTTCATATAACTATCTTACATTTTAGATTTGAACATTGCCAGCCTAATTTAAGAGTAGCTTTCTTGACATCATTCTATGTCAATCTAAGCCGATTTTTTTTTTTTTTTTTAACTTAAAGAATTGTCCCCTCTGCCCAACATCGACAAAAGATTCTCCTCCCCAGAAGCCGCTTCATATTCAGCGCCATCCTTTACTTTCTCGGCTTCCAAACAATCCCTTCGATTTCTATTCCTCCATCCGCCTTCGACTGACATGTCCACCCAAATCATCGAGCACGTCGTCCTGTTCAAGGTCAAAGACGAGACCGAGCCTTCCAATGTCACCGCCATGGTCGACAGAATCAACTCCCTCGTCTCCCTCCCCCAGGTTCTTCACATCGCCATGGGGCCGCTTCATCGACTCCGATCCTCCTCTCTCACTTTCACTCACATGCTTCATGCCCGGTACAACTCCAGAGCCGACCTAGACGCCTACACCACCCATCCCGCCCACGTGTCAGTCGTCAAGGCCAACGCCCCTTTCTGCGACGACACCATGGCTCTCGATTGGGTCGCCCACGACCTCCGGGGAGATCTGGTTCTTCCACCGGGCTCGGCGGTGCGAGTCAGGTTCTTGAAGCTGAAGGAAAACTCGAGCGATGAGGTCAAGAACGAGATCTTGGGGGTTCTGAGAGAAATTGAGGATAAATTCAGTGAAATCAGTCAGTTCAGCTGCGGGGAAAATTTCTCGCCGGGAAGAGCAAAAGGATTCTCGATCGGTTGGGTGGCAGTATTTGGAGGAATAAGGGAATTGGAGGCGGTGGATTCGAATGAGGAATGGGGAAAGTATGAGAAGGATAAGATTGGAGAGTATGTGGAGAGGGAGATGGTGATGGATCAGGTCGTGGCATCACGAGAGGCGTAATCTGGAAACATCGGTCGAGGTAATGCATTGCTATAATATTATATCATAAACTAAATTAATAAGCGTGCATGGCTTGTTATGAATGTAAATTGAATCTGCAGCTTCCGTTTACTATGACGGTGTAAAAAGCCGAGTGTTCAGACCAAATTCAAACATTTGATATCCAGTACAGACTTTATTTCTTGTTTTTCTCTTTCGAAAATTATTTAGGATTTTTTTTATGCATTGAACTTCTCAGATTTTTCATATGCATGGCTTAGATCTTTTTTTTTTTTGGGTGCTGAGCATAATTTATATCTTTGAATATTATCAGACACTAACATGAACATCACTCTTAACAAAAGTCAAAGCTAGGTTGAGCTGGGACAAATCTAGATGGGCTATTAGACCTTGCGAGGCTCAGCACTAGTTGGATGTCCAGCCCAACACATTGTTTTAATCAAAATTTAGTTTTTGATGAACATTTATTCATTTTAAATACTCTTTCTGTCCTTAATATGAGACCTAATTATTGAGTTGGTTTTAGTCCTAAATATAAGACTCATTTCTCATATTTATTAATTTTCTCTAGATTACTCCTATGGATACTCCCTTAACCATAATCAAGTAGAAGAGGAAGAGGGAGTATTAAAAAAAATGATTATGATATTTTAGAAAAAACGTGTCATATTTCTTATAATTAACTAACTTATCTAACTTCCTTAATCTAATCAAATTAGTTAAATGGGTCTTATATTAAAAACTGAAGGAGTATGGTATTTTCCTTAATACTAAATTTCACGAGATACCAATTTCAGTCTGTAAGATTTATTTAATACTTAGAATTTATTTCTTATTTCACCAAGAAAGTGATTTAGGTGAAAATAATATATAATTGCAGTATATTATATTTGTAATGAATGGAAATGTACTCGTGTAAAAATGATGTCCTGGCCGAAAAAACGAGGTTCTTCCCAGAGCAACAGGCCTTGCTCGCTAGTCGCTACTTGCGGACGCACACAAAGCCATAGTTGCAGCTTGAAATGTAACTAAAGTTTGTGCATGACGAGTTGATTCATCAGGGACAATTTTATCTGAGAAATTGTCAGGTATTAAACATAGGCACCTCTTCTAAACTTTCATTTGCACGATGTGACAGAAGTAATTTGGTGCAGCTGTAATGCATTCATTCCCAAACAAAAAATGGAATGGATTGGGCCTGGTCTCCAGCTGGCCCATTATCGATTGCGAACGACCCGATTGTTGTTGACAGTAAAAAATGAAAATGAATTTGTGTATTTTTTTAATTTCCACGAACCATACAAAACGCAAACATCACGGTCATGTCGAGGGGTCAGTGAGTTTGGAGTCCCTCGTTGAAGAGTGAAGACAGTAGGCGTCGGAGTGAAGGGCAAACTCAATCGTCCTTGTGCTTTACCATGCTCTGCCTCAAAACCCGGCCGTTATCCTCTCCGTTTTCTCTCACTTTCTCGTCTTCCAAACGCCTCCGTCCTCGTCTTCCTTCTCCTCCTTCCTTCAAACCCTACTCTCATTCCATCAACATGTCCTCCACCCAAACCATTGAGCATATCGTCTTGTTCAAGGTCAAGGACGATACTGACCCCTCAAAGGTCAACACCATGGTCAGTGGACTCAGCTCTCTCGTTTCACTCGACCAGGTCCGCCACCTCACCGTGGGTCCGCTGCTGCGCAACCGATCCTCCGCCCTTACTTTCACTCACATGCTCCATAGTCGCTACGACTCCAAAGATGACCTCAGCGCCTATTCGGCCCATCCCAGCCATCTCAGCGTCGTCAGAGGATCTGTGCTTCCCATCTGCGATGACATCATGGCCGTCGATTGGGTCGCCCACAACCTTGAGGGCGATCTCGTTCCGCCTCCAGGCTCCGCAATTAGAGTGAGCTTCTTGAAGCTGAAGGAAAATTTGGGCGATGAGGTTAAGAACGGGGTTTTGGGGGTTATTGGTGGAATTAAAGAGAGGTTCGGACAAATTAGGCAGCTCAGCTACGGGGAAAATTTCTCGCCTGCGAGGGCTAAAGGGTTCTCGATTGCGTCGCTTGCAGTTTTTCCCGGACAGGCCGACTTGGATGCTGCGGCTTCAAATGAGGACTTGGTGAACCAGCAAAAGGATAAGGTTAGGGAGCATCTGGACAGTGTGGTGGTCGTTGATTATCTGGTTCCATCACCACAACCTCGGCCTGCGAGCCTTTGATGAGGTTATTTTCTGTAATGCCATTTTACCTGTTCTATGTCTGACGTTTTTCGCTAATTGAATTGAATAAGTCGTCATTGTTCAATTACTAGGCTGTGTAGAAATTGAAAGTACGGCTTTCAAGAGTTGGCTTTCCTTGGAAATTTCTTCTTTTCTGCTTCCCTTTTCTCAATTGTGTGCATACCCTTGCCAATAAACTCATTCATCTTTTCGTGCGCGAAGTGCGTCTCTTCCATCAGGTAACCTGATTGGAGTAAACCAGAAAAAATGGGGAGGGCGAGGAGGGAACAATTTTGGGTCCAAATAATTAGCTACGACAATATAACTTTGCAGATAATTGATGATATTGTGATGGTTGTTGTGCTGCGTCCTACTTGTTCTGTTGTTTTTGGGTGAAGGGACTAACCTCGTGAGGCATCGAAAATGTTTAATTTCCCCCCCTTCCGATGGTGTTATTAGCTTAGGAACAATGTTCACAGGTCATGCAATTGGCTTAGTCCATTTCATCTCTGTCAATGTTTTGTACTTCAGTGCTATATGCCCCCCCCCCAAAAAAAAAAAATACAACCATGGGATGGGGGACGACCTATTTTTTAAGTAATTATTTCCTTAATTTTAAAACGGGAACATGCACAATATTTCAGTTTAGCTGTAGCATTTTATCTTGGTAGTGGAGGTATCGAGCTTATTTGGAGGAAAAAAGTATAAGCAATCCATCAATTATGGGAAATCATATTGGTAAGGTTAGTTGCTCCACCATTCCCAATCGCTATTTTTCTGCATACTGTTTCATTAATTTTGACTGTGATGGAGGTCTTTTTTTATTTACTCTGCCTTGCTTATCTGCAGCCTGCACCTCCGTCCAGTTTGTTTTGCACCACATAATAACATGTATATTTGAATATACATGTTCTTATGTATGAAAGTTGGGGTCAGGGCTCTGGCCCTTGAGTTTTCATCTTAAATAGGCTTGGGGCTGAATCTCAATAAAACGAAACTGGGGTCTGGTTTCATCATCATAATATCGCTCACAAACCTGCCCATCTCAGCCTCACGACTTCATTATATGAATATATGCTAAAACCCTCATAGTTGCTAGCCGTATCCAACTCCTACGTTTCTCTGCTATCCAAACTCCATAAACCTTGGTGTCTTAACTTGGCACCTCAAATTATGACAGCTGATAAGTCTAATGTTTGAACTTGATGATGCTGATCTGGTTTGCTGACATGTATTGTGTTTGCAAAAACTTATGCTTTATTGCTATGTCAACTAGAGCATCTCGTGAATATCTGATTACTGATAATCTGATGCTAGTCATGATGGAAAATCTTGTTCTTAGCCGTGCAAGACAGCTTTTAAGTTTGATTTTGAATGATATTTTTCTTCAGAGAACTGTGATCACTTGTCCAGCGCCCCTGAATCCCTGATGATATGTTTTGAGATGAATGCTGGAATTTGAAGCCAGATTCACTATAGAAGGTGTACTCTGTTAATTCCATACGTCTGTGCTGGAACCGTCCTTGCTTGAACCATTAAGATGGCTAGTTAGGTTGACTCCTTGAATTGGAATGTTGGTTCATAGGAAATTTTACCCTTTCATTGGGAGCAACGAAGCCTTAGTGAGGGAGAGTCCAAGTATGGCAAAACATAGAAAAGAAAGAACAGAAAGGAGGTCAAGGAAAAACCTAATATGGAAAATGTACTTAGCCAAATGAGGATGTCAAGGGAAAATGGGATGCATGTTGCAGACATATGTAGCAAGAGCTACAGCATGTCCTAATCAACAACGAAAACAATAACAGTCTTATTCCCCTGGGTATAGTTGACAACATGAATCCTATGACGTCGTTGAGCTTTGTCAACAATCAAATTTTTGGACAGATTGTAAATGGAAAGATCTCATGCAGCATATCGTAACCAAATTACTAAAATTACACTATAGATTATTAGAATTACAAACATGTTAGTAATGCATGGCATTCTTAAGGACTAGCCGAAAATATTAGCTTGTAAATTATCCTCAACATAATGATCTTGAAAAGTATCTTTTGTTTAATGAAGCCACGATCAACTTCTGTATTTGAGCCTATCGTCAAAATCAGATTCGAGACAAAATCTAGTGTTGCTTGATTGTCATGGAGTAATGTTATATATGCGCCTGCTTCTCTGCGAGATCTTCCAAGATTTGTATCAATGTAATGGAAATAATTGTATGATTCCACAAACTCCTTTTGATAAAAGCTCTCCCTCCTTTCTATTTCCTTGGGTGGGCTCCTTTCCATTTGTATCAAAAGAAAAAATTATTATTAGTGATAGCCCTTATAGTCGTGTCTTCTCCTTCAGATTGAATTTTCTTCAAATAACTTGCTTCCTCCGGTTCTACTTTTTTTAATTAATTTTTTTAATATTCATAAATTAATTATCTAATTCTTATATTCAAAGTGAGATGCAATATATTATGTGAAAATTTTGAATATTTTCTTTGAAATATTTTCATTTGTCTTATCTTAGGACAAATTCACGACTGATTGAATATCATTTTCCAAATGAGCCTGAAAAGCTTTTGAACATAGACTAAGAGGGTGTTTGGATGGAAATCAAATTATGGTTTCAAAAGTATTTTTACGGTTTACGAAGTAAATATAAGGAGGAGTTTATCTCGTTTTGCGTTAGAAGCACTTTTCAATGTTGCCAAACACCTTCTAACTCTTACCCTATCGCAAGAGTTTGTTTATGTATCTGTTTTATCAATATATTGATGATAATCATTGTTTTGTAAAATTTAGTGATATTTTATTTAGAAGCTAATATACTACCTCTGTTTTTTTTAATATAAGAGCTTATTTGATTTTTATTTTGGTTCTAAATATAAGATTTCTAATTTATTTTATTTATCATATTTATCCATTTTTTTTAAAGTAGTCTTTGTAATAATGGTAGTTTTAGCCAATACACTTGATTAGCAAGAATATTTTAGAAAAAGCAACACCTATTTATTATAAATTTTTAAGTAATTTTTTTAATATATTCAAATTAGTCAATTAGTTTTTATATTAAGAAGTGGAGGCAGTAATAATTATTAAGGATCCCCAGTCCCGCCTGTCACATATGTTTTCCCAGTTTTATCCATGTTTCCCCAGTTTTACTCCATTAATAAATATAAATTATTGGGTATGTATGTATGTATGTATGTATACGTATAGGAAAGTTGCCAGCTGAAAAAGGAGCCCAAACGTCGTACTCAATACTTGGGATTCAAGGGACACTTATTTTGATGGCCCAAAAGAAGGGACTATTATTTTATAATGCTCGAATAAAAATGAAAAAAAAAAATCTCTACCCAAAAAGAAAATAATAATATATAATTATATACATGGCTCAAATTTCTTTTCTTCCTTTTATTTTAATATCAAAATAATCAAATAAAACCTAAACTCAACAAATATATGTACTATGAAATTTCCTCCCACTTAAAATATCAGATATTTTTAATATATTTAAATTGTATGTTATTACTGTATAGTTTTATATGTAATTAATATAAATAATAAATATATAATTTTAATCTAAACTTCTATTAACTACCTGAGTATTATGCATTATAAAGTTAACAAATTTATTTTGATAATGTATATAATATTACAATAATATGGATTTAGTATGTGTTCCTTTTAAAAATTACTCCCTCCGGTATTATATATAAGCTTTAAATTTAGAAACGGACGTGGTCTATTTTATAAGTTTTAATTTAAGTTTTTCTTAATATTTAATGTATTTTTATCAAACTTTACCTGTAATTATTTTGCCATACTGTCTCTTATCACATTTTCTTATACATTTTTTTAATCATTTTTCTCATTTATTATAAGGACGTATTGGAAAACACAAGTATATTTCTAACCTATTTATTATTTTAAACTAATTTTAATTAATTATTTGTTACTTATAAATTAGTTATTTAAAGTTTATAACATGGACAGGAGGAATCTAAAACTCATGAGTTTGGCAACTTTAAGGGAGTACATTAGAAACCGTAGTGTTAAAACTTGAAGGTCAAATGGTGACCAAACCATTCAAGATATATTAAAAAAAATTGCCATTTGCTGATGATTAGGTACTAATGATAATAGGAACGATAATTTTTTTCCCAGGCACATATATCCTTCTAATTATTGAGGTATCGCCTTTTGTCTTTCCTAATCTGCACTGCGTTTTCCAATATATTATTATAACTCAATTCGTATAATTTATTAGATATTCAAATCCACACCATTAAACCTTGACCAAAAGAATTTCTCCATTTATCAAAAACCAGGATTAAGATTCCCAAGGGTACGTTTGATATGAAAGGAAGGGAAAGAAATGAAGGAAGGAAAATTTTTTAACGAGTTTGGTTTAAAAAATTGATGAAGTGAAGTTAAAAGCTTTTAATTAATTTTTATTATTCTTTTGTTTTATTTTTTTATTTATTAAAATTTTATAATTCCATTTTTTAAAAAAAATTTTTAAACTGAGCTCATGCACAAAAACCTAAGGTTAGAGTTTTCTTTGTCCTCGGCTTATCTCGGTACATTTTGGGCTACCCAAAGCCATCCACCACACCGAACCCCCCCCCCCAAAAAAAAGATCCAAAATCCCAGCCCATACATTGAGCATGGCAAACAAGCCGCCAAAACATATGTACATATTTGTGTGTCGAAGTGAAAACCGTGTTCTGATATGCGTGTTTGTGTTTTGAAATACTACATTCGGTCCTATTTATAAGATCTCATTTGTAAATTATAAATAAGGTCATTTAAATAGGATCAGAGGTAGTAGTATACTAATCACAACAGAGTTTGCCATGTTTATTCAAGTGCGTACTGGGAATAAAAGTTCTGATGATCGTGTAATATAAGTACGCATTACACAATGAATCCCAGAAGCAATCGATGCCCAAGGTCCGTGTCCAGAGAATCTCAGGGTACAGTGCCGCGACAACATTATAATCATCAAAATACATAGGATACATTGGAAACATCTGCTCAGGCCTACACATGTGCCTCATTAATAATAATGTCATTTAATTACATTAAGTGGTTAAGAGATGATGATACCATATACATATACACACACATTAAGTGGCTATGATAAAAGCGATCTCAGCAAGAGATCGAGTCCAACAAAAGAATCACGTTCATCATCACAACAGCAAAACCTCATCCGATCCAACAAGAACCAAAGGTAGTCCAACCACATTATTGTCAGACGCTTAAATGATTGACAGGAGGACAAGGCCCACAAATCTATCTCTTCATTATTAGTATTATTAAGTTCTTACATGAATTGAATCCTGCAGATTGTTCTCAGTTCACCCCGTGATTAGTCCAAAAGCAGCGAGATCCACCAAGAAAATTATCGTACCCGAGCCTACATGGTCACTCACCAAAAGACATAAACATATGCTAATGTCCATGCCTCCAATATATCATTCTTGGTTTAGGGGTAATTTTTGCTCTATATAAGTACTGGTGAAGAAGAAGTAAGATTTTTAGTTTTTTTTTCTTTTTAAAAACCTTGTCCTATAATTAGCACAGTACGTTACGTTAAAGAGCGCATTTTTCATGAACAGAAAGCCAAGTCTGAACTCTGAATATTAAATGTAAGGTTAATATACGATTTGGTTGCTTTGTTTAATTTTCGTATAATAAGATGCATGCAGCGGCAGAATAATAAGATTGCTTCTGCATGGAGCACAGGTGAAGATGACAAGAAAAATAAGGGTTTCTGTGGTTTCCTCGAAGGTTTTGACGAGATGGGCATCGACGACTTGCTCAGTTGCTCGTGCCGGAGGGGGCACAAGTTCCGTGCACAATTTTGGAGAAGCTTCTGGCGAATGTGGGAATTCTTTCAGCCAGAATATGATGACGTGGATTTCTCTTTTCCTTAATACTACCTCCAGTCCTAATTATAAGAGCCAGTTGACTAATTTGAGGAGATTAAAGAAGTAAGTTGAGTTTGTTATTTGTCCTAAATAGGTATTGTCTTTCCTAAAGTATCCTTACTAATCAAGTGTGTTGACTAAAACTCTTATGATTAAAAGGGCTATTTTGGAAAAATATATATAAATATAAGAGATAAAGTGGATTGGGGTCTTATATTTAAGACTAAAGTAAAAGTCAAACAGAATCTTATATTAAGGATCGGAGGTAATATTAGGTGAGTGACTATTCATGCAGTGAGATCGATGATATCGATGCAATAATATAATATACTAAAAAGCTCTGTGTGTGTCAGTGTCTTGTGAAAGTACTCGTCCCGTGATCAAATTGGGGAATAATCTTAATTTTTTTATAAAATTTATTTAACATATTTATTAATTTTTTAAAATTACTCTTATTGATATTTTTTTTAATAACAATCAAGTATTTTAAAAAATACATATAATTAATTATGTTTTGTGTTAAGGACTGGAGGAATAATTTCTTTTATAATTTCTTCACATCTGTGAAATTCCATGCTGTGAGATATATATATATATATATATATCCGTGTGTATCGATAATGCATATGTAATATAAGAAGATAATAAAGTAATTTTATGAAAAGATCGTCTACCAATTTGCTCTCTTCAGATGTCAGTGAGGCTTTTTGTTTTTTTGAATTTGGTGGTGTTGGGGGGTATTTCATCATCAAATAGTTATGTATTTCTCGTATTTTAGCCTTATAAATAAAACATGTTTAAGTGCGAATCTTAATATGACTCTATATATGTAATAATGAGACATTAAAGTATATATAATGAGTTGATTAATTCGACCGAAAGCAATATCATTCACTGTATAATCGCAGCCGCTCCAAAAAATAATTGGAAAAATACCACAACTTTTAGTAAAATCTCATAAAAATACCATTGAAATATTAAAATCCCAAGACAGGGATTCGAGTTTAAATAATCCACATCAATCCACTTCACTGATTTGAAGTTTTAAAATATTTCAGAATTTCAAAAAATATATTAAATATAGTTTAACGTACATAATAAATAATGAAGTAAATATAGTAAAAAATCAGTAATATGAATCTTCTTCGTGAACCTATTCAAGTACCACAGTTCTTAATCATTTTTCAATTTTTTGAAAAATTTTAAAATTTTAAATCAGTGAAATGAATTGATTTGAAATTATTGAAATTCGATTTCTTCATTTGATTTTTTAATATTTCAACGGTGTTTTCTTTTAGTTTTCCACAATTTAATTTAAC